GCAAGTAATTAAAAAGAAAACATAAATCGATGTTTGAATAAAACGATAGTAAGTACTTATTCATACCTGTAGATTGGTTGTCGAAACAAACTTAAGTGTAATGGCAAATATTACACAATTAATACTAATTTAATGGTACCTGTCTAGAAATTCAAGTGGAGCGAATTCTAAGTAAATGCAGCAATAAATTGATTTATATCTTTTTCTTTCTTTCTTTTTCTTTCTCCATGTGGAAATACCAGCCATAGACTCAGGCATCCAACTCAAATGCAGTGTTTATCCTGCAATATTGCCTGTCGAGTATGAGTTAAATCTATGCTCATATAACACCTAAGTTGAAAGTCATTAAGCCATCATGCGGAAGGAAAAATGGTCACCGGTTAAATGCTGCGTGATTGCGGGCGATCTAGGGGTATAACCATGTGGGCGCGGCTGGCTGTCATCGCTTGAGAGCGATTTATGGTGGGTTATTTTGGCTGTGTTGACAAGATCACTTTGTGTAAAATTTATGCGTCCAGTGGAAGTATTTCGTGGAAACTGAGCTAAAATTCAGTTTCATTTCCAATTCTGAAGTTTCCGACCAAAAATACTTGTGTTTTCATCGCTTGGTTTCGGCGACCTTGCTATCGCCACTTTCTTCGTCAATTGGCCGCCATCTTGTTTTCGGATTCTTCACAATGCCAAAACAGTCATCCTGTGGTACTTGCTCCAAACTAGTCGGATACCGTGCAAACGCCCTCACGTGTGTTTTGTGCCAAGTTAAATACCACGTTTCATGTGTTGGATTATCAGTTGAGCATTTTTATCGTCTTCGCGAGATCCAACCGATTTCATCCAAACTATATATGAAAATTGCCGAAATAAGATACAACCAGAAAGAGTAAAGCCGATGTGTAGGCCTCAGCGTTCGTTGCGAACAGCTCCCTGTGTTTGGCTAAACAACCTAGCACGAAGAGCCTTCAGGTTTCGGCCCAGTCGTCCTACTCTACCTGTGCAAACTCACCGACACCAAGTCCAACCGTTGTTGAGAAGCCCAGTTGTACCTGGACTAAATTGTTTACCTTTGTTGTGTCCAACGGACACTGATGTCCCAGCAGGTGAAAGTCTGAGTGCTGAAGACTAGTGGAAAGAACAGAGGACGAAATTACGAAGGAACCTTGGGCTTTTACGTTCTGTAAGTTAACAGTTAGCCAAACCACTTGAGGCTGGTTATATACTTCGCCCTGCAAGGCCAACCTCGTCCGACCAGAGGCGTTATAATCTCGTGATATTTCACGCACCGGAGTCCAGTGATCCATCACCCCAAGTGCGCTACGATCACGATGTCGAGTTTTTACAGGGTCTAATTGATAGACTTCTCGACGCTGGTGAGGACTCGGTAAACGTGAGGCAGATTGCCCGTCTTGGAAAGCAAGGTGATCTACAAAATCGGCCTATGAGAATCACTATTGTGGACGAAGCCAGTCCAAGACTGATCATGTCTCGCCTAAGTAGGCTGAAAGGTTTGAAGATACATGTTCGTCCCGACCTGGACCCAGTAGACAGGGAGCGGCTCAGGTCTGCCATCATTGAGTTGAAAATACGCGCTGGTGAGGGGGAAACAAATCTTCGTATCGTAAATTTTCGGGTGGTTTCCAACAATCCGCGTATCAGGATAAACAGGCTGCTCACACTTCAAGCATGCCCGGCGGCTCCTGCTGCAGCCTGTAAGTAGCCTTCACAAACGTTTGCAGTATTATGAATAAGCGCGATGAGCTTTGTTGTTTTGTTGCGTCTGAGCGGCCAGACGTAGTGGGACTCGCAGAGACATGGCTGCATGCAGTGTTATACACCCAGGAACTTGAACGCAACGGTTACTCGTGTTTCCGATGCGATAGACTAAAGAATGCTCACGGTGGCGTCTTACTTTACATTCGGTCTTCCCTGCGTGGGAGACTTGTGAGCACCTACCGAAGTGACAATGGTCTGTGTGAGCTACTCTGGTGCTCCAACAGCCTAAGGCGCGGAGAACTGTTTGTGGGCGCATTTTATCGCAGTCCTCTGAGTCGTTGTTTGGATTGGCTGCCCATTCTTCGGACCCACATGAGTCGTCCACACTTTCTACTTATGGGCGATTTTAACTGTTCTCGTATATGATGGCCTGATGTGCATTTGCTGCCTGAACATAGTGAGGTTGAAGCAAAGTTCGTGGATTTGGTACTTGAAACTGGTGCATCGCAACACATATGCCAGCCAACACGCATATCAACACGTTCAACCCCGTCCTGTCTCGATCTGATGTTAACGAGCTACGAACAACGAGTGCGCAACATTAGGATTCTGGAGCCCCTGGCTACGAGCGACCACTCAGTACTGATAGCTGATATGGAATTATCTTTGCCGTATTCACATCCGCTGCAACCAGCTCCCAACTACTGGAAAACGGACTTCGATGGTCTAGCTCGAGCCGCGAGCCAAATGGATTGGTCTCTGTCACAAGCTGCATCTGTGGAAGATTGTTAGATTTATATAAAAGAGAGATTGACATCATTGTGTTCCCAATTTTTGCCATTGAAATGTCGGAAGTTTGGACCGATTAAGCCTCATTGGTTTGATAAGGAGTATGGAAACCTGGCTCGGAGGTGGCGCAGATTGTGGGACAAATTCCTTCTCTCTGGCTCTGCCAATGATTACGAAGTGTATAAATGTCAGCGAAACCTCTGCAACAGTGCGAAAAAGAATAAACACCGAAACTTTGAAGAGCAGCTCGCATTAGCCGCGAAGACCGCCCCAAAAAGAATCTTTGCATATGTGAGGCGACGCCTGAAGCCGGCAGGTGATATGCTAATGCTGGATGGCACGGATGGACACCCCTTAACCTCCAGCACTCAGCGTGCGTCCGCGTTGGCGGCGCACTTTGCTTCTATATTCGCGAATAATCAGGTGTCTGTTCCGAGTTCGACGTGTACCGCTTTTACCGAACTCGTTAGTCTGCATTGCGGCGTTGTAGAGGTAGCTCAACTACTCGCCAACCTTGACGGCATCAAACCCGCCGGACCTGATGGGTTTCACCCACTAGTTCTCAATTCACTTTCAACCATCCTCTCTCTTGTCGTGACTGACCTTTTCAACAGGTCGCTCTCCGAAGATTCGTTGCCGGTTGACTGGAAATGTCCGGTTGTGAAGCCTATTCCGAAAGGCGGCGACCCTAGCAAAGTAGACAATTACAGACCGATTTGTCTGACACCTATTTTGGCAAAGGTTGCTGAGAAAATCGTGAAGAAGAGATTGCTGCAGTTGCTACAGTCAAACAAGTTCCTGACGCTCGCACAGCACGGTTTTATGCAAGCTCGCTCATGCATTACTAACCTGCTTGTGACGAGGCATGAGTGGTTGAAGGCAATAAACAAGGGGAAATCCGTCGACGTGGTATTCATCGATTTCAGTAAAGCGCTCGACAAGGTCAGTCATGAGGTTCTCCTTCACAAACTCAGCATGTGTGGCGTCGGTGGCTCACTGCACCGGTGGATCCGCGACTTTCTTGTTGGACGAAAGTGGAGAGTACAAGTCGACGACCATCTAACTGACTGGTACCCTTCTACAAGTGGCGTGCCTCAATGCACTGTGCTGGGGCCCACTCTGTTCCTGACCCACATCAACGATCTGCCGCAGTTTCTCCGGTCGCCGTGTCCCTTGTTTGCAGACGACATGAAGATTTGGAGAGAAATCGACGCTCCCGATGACTGTGGCCTACTTCAGCAAAATCTCAACCGCTTATCCACATGGTCTGCAGAAGTTCTTCTCCCGGTCAACCCAGCTAAGTCTGTATTTATGAGCCTGGGGAAGGGTGCTAACGGCAGAACCTACACCCCTGACGGCCAAACACTATATCCCACACCCTTCGTGAAGGACCTAGGTGTACTCTCACGCTACGATTTGAAGTCAGTGGACAACACGAACAGGCTCTATCGGAACGGACTGCGCATGCTTTGGGCGCTCAAACGTAAGTTCGGCACATGGTCTGAAGTGGTTGCTACTCGCCTGTTCTCTTCTATCATTAGACCAATGCTAGAGTACGGTTCGCCCGCCTACGTTTTAATTACCCGAGGCGAGGCATAAAAAATCGAACGGGTCCAACACTTTGCTACCAGACTCATCCCGTGTTTACGTGGCATTGGGTATGAAGACCGGTGCGAGAATCTAGGGCTCTACACCTTGTCCTACCTTCGTATGCGAGTCGACCTCATTATGACCTACCGAATTCTACATCTCAGTGAGTTCCCCATGCTAAGACCAATACTGCACTTACGAGGGCCATGCAGAACACGCGGACACAGATACAAACTTGTCGTGCCGGATGTGAGATGCTTTCCCCATCCACTGTGCTTCGAAAGGAGAGTGGTAAAATTTGGAACAGTTTGCCCGAACATGTGATTGAGGCAACATCTGTGCAACAGTTCAAAATGTTGTCAGATTTGTATTTTGCCTCTATTCGAT